ATAGATTTAGAGTTGGAATTCAATTAAATTCATAGGATCATAGATTTGGAGGTGGAAGTGAATTGAATTCATAAGATCATTGATTTAAAGCTGTAATTGAATTAAATTCCTCAGATCATTGATTTAGAGCTGGAATTAAATTGAATTAACCTCATAGGACTACAGATTTCGAGTTGGAATTGTATTGCATTGCACTGTTGCCTCAAATCCCCATAGCTAATACCCATCCCCCTAGCCATTCTCCATCTCAGCTGATTCATACCCAGTCCAAGCCAGCCTAGGGTTCCCCTCTGTCTCTCCTTTGCGCACAGCTGTACATCTCTCTTCAGGTGAATGTACCTGGAGTTTCTCAAGGCCCACTGCCCTCCTTTCATGCTGTGCCCTAGCTGGGTGTTTGCTAGTGTCTCAGGTCCTCCAAACCACTAGATGTGATTTCATCTGAAGTGGCAAATGAGCACAGTGGTTAATGCGTTTTTATTTTCAGAAATGTCACAAGTAATTAGGATGCTGTGCCTCGTCTCCTTCCTTTCCCTCTCAAGTGCCATTTAAAATCTCAGCCGCTGTTCTTCAAGAAGCTGCCACAGCTCTCATTATTTACACCCCTCCTCGGGTCCCATCAAGGTTGTTTCTTTGCTATAATTGATCCTAAAATAAATTCCTCTCCACTCCATAATTAAAGGAAATTGCACTTATTAGCAAATCTCATGATTATGTCTTAGGTGAATACATATGGAAATAAATATTAGGTCATCCTCTGGGCCTGTAGGTAGTGCTGGAAGCAGTGTGGTGATGGCACCGGCCATGGTGGTGGTAGAGATCTCTGAGTATTGACTTGGGGAAACCAGGGCTCCTGATTACCGTTGGCTTCATGTGGGGATATGGCCCCCAAGGGGAAGGCAATAGCTGCCATCCAAAGGACTTTTCTGTGCTGACCTGATTGATCCTTTGGGGAGCTTTGGCAATTCTCATTGACCCAAATCAAGACCCTTCCCTTGGCTTTGTAGAGGATCTCTGAGAATTGACATGGCTGAAATACAGAGACCCCACCAGCCTTAGTTAGGCTGGTCCTAGGCATTTCCTGGGCCCTTTGCTTATGTCCTCCTGAGATGCCCCACAGCATGGAGGTAACAACACTAGCTTCCAAAGGCTTAGTCAGTGAAGCCCAGTCTCCAGTGGGTCCTTCTGAACTGGAAAGATGCCAACTTGGGCCCTGTCTATATGTGCCTGTTAAAATCCAAGGCCCACCCTTTTCTTTGGTTCTGTATGACTCCTGATCAACCCTTATTGGGGAGGAAGGCATTTGTGTTTCTTCACCAACTTTCATACTTGTTTTTAAAATCATCTATACTTGTGTATAGATGATTGCAAGTTAGACCATTTATAAATGGGCCACCCTAGTCAACCTCTTTTATTTTAAAGACTAATTGATAGATTGGTGGTGACAGGGGATGGTTGGGATCAGCACTCCGACCAATCCGTATGTATGTATGTATGTATGTATGTATGTATGTATGTATGCGTGTATGTGTATGTGTATGTATGTATGTAATCAGACCCATTCATGATAAGAACATGACCTCTTTTCTTCTGTTTTACAGACGATCTAGCCTGGTCATTACAACCAAAATCTTCTGGGGAGGAAAGTAGGTCAATTTATTTATTTAGTTATTGGTTTATTTTGTTTGTTTCTTGGAATGGTACCGATCCCATTGTCACCCTTCAGTCTTATGCAATGATCAATAGGGCATTCTGCCCACAATCACGATCATCCTGGGTTCTGTCCATTGAGGGGAGCCCCTAGTCAGACCTCCAGAAATGAGAGCCTGCTGGCTTAGGGGCAGGATGGAGGGGAAGGCTCTTTAGAGAATCCAGGCATGGTCAGAAGCCCCTACCAGGCCCTGTGGAAAATCTGGGTGAGGGATCAGAAGAAATTGGATTCATGCATGCCGTTGACCTGTTTTTCAGAGCAGAGACTGAGAGAGGCCTGTCCAGAAAGCACATCATAGAAGGTAAGGCCCAGGGCCACCTCCACTAATCCACTGGCCACAATTCTCAAAGAATCCAAGAGCAGGAGGGGTAGCTCATGCTTTTCAAAGGGCTTGCGGGTCACAAAGTATTCCCACAGGTGTTTTCTCATCCCATCTTCATCAACTACCCTGTGTGGTAAGTAGTGCAGGGATTATTGTTCCCATTTTTCAGATGAGGATACTGAGGCTTGGCAAGAAGGGATGGCTAACTGAGGGATACCCAGCCAGTTAAGTGGCCGAGCCAGGACTAACCCAAGTCTTCTGACTCCTAGATCCAAGATGCTTGCTGTAGCCTCTTTAGTAGAGATCTCAGATTCATGTAATCCGGTCCTCTTCCTCCATGGAGCATCACAGGAACCTCGGGTAGGAGGGACCTCTCAGACTACCTGGCCTGACATGTGCCTGCCCAAGAGTCCCCTCTCCCGTACCAGGCTCTGCTTGATGCCCTCCAGTGAGCAAGGAGCCCACGACATGCGTAGGCTTGCATCCACTATGGATAGCTCTCAGTCTACCTCGTAGCTCCGCAGTAACACTGCCTCTTTCGCGTGATAGCCCTCCAAATACTTTATTCATGCCCTTCTTCCCACCTGCCCCCACCACACACCAGATGCATGCATGCATACACGCAAGCGTGCACACGTGCGCGCGCACACACACACACACACACACACACACACCCTTCTTGTCTCATCCCCAGTTCCTCATTCTTCATATAGCATCATCTCCATTCCTGTTACCATCCTGGTCATCCTCCTTGGTACATGATGGAACTCACCAGTGTGGCCCCCAATACTGAATACAATACTCTAGATGTGGACTGACTGTGGCAGAAGACAGCAGGACTGTGTCAGCTCCCTCATTCTGGATACTCTACCTCTACTATGAATAAATGAATGAATGAATGAATGAATGAATGAAAAAACCTCTAGAATGAATGAATGAATAAAGCATCTATTAAGCAGTTACTGCATGCCAGGCACTATGCAAAAGACTGAGGCCTCAAGGAACTTAACATTTGTAAAGGGGAACGACAACTCATAAAGGGGAAGCCTTTAGATTTTTATGACATTGCTTTATTGACTTTTATGGAGATTGAAGTCCCCTTAACTCCCCGCCCCATCTAAATCATTTAAGACTTAGACTTAAGACTTGATTGGTTTAAGACCCTAGTAGGACCCTAGCACTCTGGGGGGAATAGGAGGGAATAATACCCAGTACAGATAAGTGATTTTTCTGGAGAGATGATAACGAATCAGGAGAAGACATTCTACTGTAGTGAGTTATTTGTCCTATTCTTAACCACACCATGGAAAGGGATCCTGTGGCACCCCCTTTGCAGGACCTTTCTCCTCCCGTGCTTTCTTATCCCTGTGCCCAAATTCTTTTCTTCTCTGCATTAAACAGTCCCTAAACCTCGGATTTGGAGAGGACCTCAGAGACTATTGAGCCCCAAAACCCATGCCTCCACACATATCTCCTCTGCAAACTCAGATAAGTGGTCGTCCCAATTTATCTTAAAGACCTCCAGTGATGGGGAACTCACTACCTCTCAAAGCTGCCCATCCCCTTTTGTTTTTTTTGCATTTTGTATATTGTATTTTGTATTTTTGTATTTTGTATTTTGGTTGATATTTTTTCAATCAACCTTTTCAACAACTCTAATTGTTAGAATGTTTTCCTTTCATTTTATCAAAGCTAAAGTGACCTCTTTGTCCCTCACTTTCTCCCCCTTCCCACATTGCTCCTAGGTATTGCTTCTAGATTCAATGAAAGCAAGTCTAATTACTCTTCCATAGTGTAGCTCCTCAAATACTCACATGGCTATCAGTTCCCCCACAAATCTCCCTGTTTTCTAGACTAAACATGCCCCGTTCCTTTAGCCAAACCTCACAAGTTTGTTGAGGTTATCTTTCTAAATCCTTCTCCCTGACCCTTTCATGGTAGCCAAGGAAACATAACAGCTGAGCATCCCCACAGAGGCTGATGTCCTACAGTCACAAGGGTTCCCCAACACATGCAAGGTTTGTCTTTGAGACCAAAGACTTGGGAGACAGGAGTCCTGAATTCCCCCTTGGGCTCCTTCCATTCCTGAGTCCTTATCCCTTGAGGACAGATCATAAGCCAATATTTCTTCTCAAGGGAGCAGGGCTCGTTCCCTAGGTCACAAGGATATTGGATTCTACCCACTGACCTTGGATTTTGTAGGAAAAAGCTTCCTGGGAAGTGAGCAGTGGGCCTGAGGCATTGCTGACTTTGGGGTTGAAACATCTGGACAAAAACACCAGACTGCCCTAGGAATTCTCATCCTTACTCTCCCCGCCTTGCTGTGCTACCTTGCATAATTTTTCAGTCTCTACTTTTTAATTTATTTTTTATTGTTTTTGCCACCTAGCACGGGGCCTGGCACATAACAAGCTCTTAATAAATGCTTACTAATAGCTTGATGAACCCCACCGTGAATTTGTGCAAAATTAACCCAATGGCCTCTTCCGCCTTTCAATCAAAAATAAGCCTGGGCGCCTTGTACAGGTGTCCCAGGCCCTAGACGGGAACTTCACTGATGGTCCTGGTGTCTCCTCGCTAGGCCTGAAAGCCTCTTTGGAACGGCTCCAGTTAGAGTACGTGGACGTGGTGTTCGCCAACAGACCCGACCCTAACACTCCCATGGAAGGTAGGTCTTCTTAATAAAGCGCCAACTGCCATCTCCCCACCCAGGCCCAGGTTTGACCATCCATGAGATGGAGGCGTGTCGAAGGGAGGTAGCTGATCCCACCGCCCTGAAGCCAGAAGGTCACCAGACCACATGGGGCAGGCTCAACATGGGGAGCCAACCAGCAAGCCACAGAGACGCTCTTTAACCTTCCATGTCCGTGGTTTGGCCAGGGAAGGTGGGATTTCCCAGGCCTGGAAGTGACAGGGGTGACTAGGCAGGGTAGAGGGCCAGACCCTTCCTGCTGGAAGAGAGACCCAGGCATCTCTCCACCTGGCACCCCCTTCCTTAAGCCCTGCTGCCAACATCTCCTTGCTGGATGGACGGACAGAGGTTCTGTCCTTGCCTCTCTGGTTTCACATCCAACCTTGTGCTCCCCTTCTGTGTTTCTTAATTGCATGGAATGTTGAACCCCCCTCCCTCAAGTTAACATCTTGTTAGTGAAGCAGGGTCACAACTAATCCTACGATCTGTCCTGTTTGTGTTTTGTTGGGCGTCGTAATGTCCTTTGCTTTGGGGTGGAGTGAGTCAGGCATCCTCTCGTGTCTGGGCAGCAGTGCTCGGTGCCAGCAGGGCAGTTTGGGTCGGCTTATTTTGGTCTTTGGTTCTTTGAGCCCACCCCTCGGCCCCCCCACTCCTCCACTGCAGCCCCCTCCCCCCTCCTCAGTGCTTCGCTGCTTCAGGAACATAGAAAATCAGGCCTCTGAGATGTGATTCCCAACCATCCCCCATCTATTTATTTATATCTATATATTTTCCTTAAAACAAGTGGTCTTTGAAAGGTGATTTATGCCTCCCTTCCCTCCCCTCCTGCCCCGCTTTGTCATAGCGTGCCTTATGGTATTCCAGCAGTTATAAACTCTGGTCTCTTTAAATCTTTCTTTTATCACCAGGGGACCCATTTAGTTCTTCCAAGTCAAGAACATTCATCATAGAAGGTACATAGTACCCGCAGTCCGACTATTGACTTCTGTGTCCGAGTGGCATTTTATGAGACAGATTCTGTATTTTTATTTACACTACTCCCTTACCCCCCTGATGACAAACTTCTCCATAAAATGCATAAAGAAAAAAAAACTGCCCTCTGAAAACATCTTGCAAGTAAAGGGAAAAAAACCAGCTAGCCTCTTAGTTCCTAGTGTCCCCCTCCTTCTCTCCCCCAGTCCATGTGGTCACTTCATTCCTTTTTTCCTCTCTTCCCCTCCCTTTTTCTGCATGCCTGCCCCCACCCTCCCCTCACCCCCGCGTGCTTGTATTGCTAGAGAGCTCATCAGGTGATGGTTCTGCCTGGGGGCCTCCTCCCTGTTGGGGGGGAGGGTGGCATTGGAGCCCCAGGACATCTCTGCTGCACTCA